ATCATTTCAAAATTATAGAATTCCAAAAATTAAGGAAACTAAATATTTGAAATCTTTTACATGAATCTAGCAGTTTAGAAAATTGAATATATTGTTCGATTACATTCTGCAAAATTTAGATTACGTATTCTGCTTTTCAGAATTTAGTAAATTGTTGATTTCTCTTCTATATACTCTAGCGTTTTTCTCATGAATTTTATTCTCTTTATGTGTTTAGAACTTGAACATGATCAAATGTATCTAACTAATGCATAGTGTACATATTCCAAGTATATGTGATTAAAGATTTGTAGTATAAAAGTAGACTTGTAAGTAAACGTAGAGTAAACGCAATTAGCTATCTCTTAAAATGATTAATGATTCAGAAGGGCCTTCATAAATAATTAGGAAATGTTTTAAAAGAAATCATTAGTGAAACTTCAAAAAATATGACTAAATTATTAAGATTGTTATTATTGTTTCGCTAACAACACACAGAAAACCAATTTGTGTTGGTTTTCCTGATGGTTCGGGAATATAAATCAAAATTGTAAACCAATTTGTGTTAGTTTCTTAACGATTCATTACCGAATTAGAGTTCATGATTCACGAGGTTGCTGCTTGGTTCTTTTTGTCTTAAAAAAATTCTCATTGATTAAATAAAAAAAATTAAAACAAAAGAGATAAGAAAGCCTCGAACTTCAGACATCAATCAAAAATTTCTAACTCATCAACCAACTGAGCCAATAAATATTATTGTAAATTATTCCCTAAAATATGATTAAATATAATATTTATGATCAAGGGCATAATAAAATTTTAACTAAATTAAAGTATATATCACCAACTTACATAATAAAGGTATAGATGGACAAATTCTAAAAAAACATCCTTTATTTTCAATTTTTCCTATTATATTCGTAGAACACAAACGGTATTTTTGTTTGACGAAAAGTAAAATTTATGTCAAAATTCACACTAATCTACGAACCATATATAGAAAGCCGGATATTTATGATCACTTAATTAAGACATATACATCGACTAATTTAAAATATCTTAACTGTTTTTTGTAGATGAAAAACTCGCTCCCTTGCTTAACAAGATTCACATGGCGATTTTTTTTTTTAGATAAACCG